CTGAAGATCGATGGGACGCTTGGAAAACGGGCCTGAAGATCCTTTCTAATGAAAAAGCTGATCCCTAGCAAGGAAATTCCCTCAGAGGGTCTTGGTGCTGATCCTACGGATGCGTTGTTGGGACAAAAGAATGTTTTTTGTGGATCTGAGTTTTGGAAGAGCGAGGTGGCCTCGGAGCGAAGCCTGAGCCTTGCAGGAAGAAGAGCTGCGGCTCGGTATTGGCGTTTAACCTCCATAAAGTCTTGGCAAGAGCAAAACCAGGATCAAATCCCAACTGCTCCTACCAGGATGATCCGGAGCCGCCCCGGAAGGGTTATGAACCAGCTGGGTGATCTCGTGCCGGGAACGCCGCAGGGGTTGCCAGTTATGGGGATGCATGGAGCGGTGCCGGGCTTGCTGGCGTCCTTGGTCTTGCCCATACAGTTAATGCAAGTGTTTGCGACTCCGGTGGTAAACTCGGGGCATTTTCCAGCGCCCAGCAAATGCGGGAGCTCTGGGTGCTCACCTGGGAGGTGGGAACAGACTCGGCGCTGGTGGTGAAGCTTGGAGGAGACCTGGGTGAGAGGTTCGTGATGGTGATCCAGGATCTGCTCGTGAACGTCCGTGGATGTGCTCGTGGGCATCCTTGGATCCTCTGATGAGCGTCCCTGGATCCTCTCGTGAGTGTCCCTGGATCTGCTCATGAGCATCCCCTGGATCCTCTCATGAGTGTCCCTGGATCTGCTCATGAGCATCCCCTGGATCCTCTCATGAGTGTCCCTGGATCTGCTCATGAGCATCCCCTGGATCCTCTCATGAGTGTCCCTGGATCTGCTCATGAGCATCCCCTGGATCCTCTCATGAGTGTCCCTGGATCTGCTCATGAGCATCCCCTGGATCCTCTCATGAGTGTCCCTGGATCTGCTCATGAGCATCCCCTGGATCCTCTCATGAGTGTCCCTGGATCTGCTCATGAGCATCCCCTGGATCCTCTCATGAGTGTCCCTGGATCTGCTCATGAGCATCCCCTGGATCCTCTCATGAGTGTCCCTGGATCTGCTCATGAGCATCCCCTGGATCCTCTCATGAGTGTCCCTGGATCTGCTCATGAGCATCCCCTGGATCCTCTCATGAGTGTCCCTGGATCTGCTCATGAGCATCCCCTGGATCCTCTCATGAGTGTCCCTGGATCTGCTCATGAGCATCCCCTGGATCCTCTCATGAGTGTCCCTGGATCTGCTCATGAGCATCCCCTGGATCCTCTCATGAGTGTCCCTGGATCTGCTCATGAGCATCCCCTGGATCCTCTCATGAGTGTCCCTGGATCTGCTCATGAGCATCCCCTGGATCCTCTCATGAGTGTCCCTGGATCTGCTCATGAGCATCCCCTGGATCCTCTCATGAGTGTCCCTGGATCTGCTCATGAGCATCCCCTGGATCCTCTCATGAGTGTCCCTGGATCTGCTCATGAGCATCCCCTGGATCCTCTCATGAGTGTCCCTGGATCTGCTCATGAGCATCCCCTGGATCCTCTCATGAGTGTCCCTGGATCTGCTCATGAGCATCCCCTGGATCCTCTCATGAGTGTCCCTGGATCTGCTCATGAGCATCCCCTGGATCCTCTCATGAGTGTCCCTGGATCTGCTCATGAGCATCCCCTGGATCCTCTCATGAGTGTCCCTGGATCTGCTCATGAGCATCCCCTGGATCCTCTCATGAGTGTCCCTGGATCTGCTCATGAGCATCCCCTGGATCCTCTCATGAGTGTCCCTGGATCTGCTCATGAGCATCCCCTGGATCCTCTCATGAGTGTCCCTGGATCTGCTCATGAGCATCCCCTGGATCCTCTCGTAAGCGTCCCTGGATCCTCTCGTGAGCGTCCCTGGATCCTCTCGTGAGCATCCCCTGGATCCTCTCATGAGCGTCCCTGGATCCTCTCGTAAGCATCCCTGGATCCTCTTGTGAGCATTTAACCACGTGGATGAAATCATTCCCAGATGATTTTTCGGGAACGGGGGGTCGCTCCCATCCCAGCGGACCGGCAGCGCCAGCCCAACTCTGGGCTCGCGTGGGGCAGGGAGCTTCTTGGTGGACGCCTCTGTGGGAAGAAGGACGTTGGAAGCTTTGGAAGCAGCTCCAGAGGACCACGAGCCCTTCCCGCTGGGATCAGAGAAGTGCCGGGATGCGCGCGGAGGGAAGCAGAACCAAATCCCCGTCCTCCAACAACGAGGGTTGTTAAAATTCAAGACTTCCACCCAGGAGAGGGCAGAGCAAAGCATTTTACTGCCGGGAACTGATAAAAACCAGATCAGCCGAGGGTGCTTGAGTTCAGGTTCGGGGAGAAATCCTTCAGCCAGGACCTTTTCGGAGCTGGGTTCGCAGATGCCTGCATCGCTCCGTGCCCTTGCGCTCCCGGGATGCCCGGCCGCATCCTTTACTCTCCTCATTTTGCCCAAATCACGCTTGATTTTTATTCTTTGGGGACAGCATTCACGCGGCAGATGGGATCAGAACCGTTGCAGCACGCTGCGAATCCCCTCCCTAACCTTAAAATATTAAGGATTAACCTTAAAATATAAGGATTCCTCTTTATTTTTTTCAGCACGGGACTCGCTCGGCCTCGATTGATTTTTCCTCCCCGTCTCCCGGGGAATCGTCAACCCGGCACGGCCCCGCGGTGCTTCGGAGGAGCAAATGCTTTCCGTTGCGTGGGGTTTTTGGGGAGGGGGGGGGCGCGGAAGCAGGTCTGAGGTCTCGCCTAACTAAGCGCTCGCTTAGGGTGTATTTAAACCCGCGCTGCTTCGCTCGGCTTGGGCGGTCGTCGTCCCTGCAAACCTCGCCACGGTGGCCTGGGAAGGGGTCGTAGGGCTAAAAACTGCCGGAAAAGGTGGGTTTGGGCGGCGCGGCTGAGCCGGGGCGCGGTGTTGCCTCCGCCGCGCGCCGCCCTGACCGCGTCCTGCTGCAGAGATGCCCGACGGGTTTTGGTACGAGCGGGGAAGACGATGAAATTCATCCTTTTGTTGTTGTTGTCGTTGTAGCTGGTAGAGCGTTCAGGTTTTTATCGAGCTCTCTGGATGTCGTAATCCTCAGGGATGGGAGGAAGGAGTGGGGGGGGTTGCTTCGTGCTCCGCCAGGTTCCTGGGGAATCTGGTTCCTCCAGATCCTCTCCTGACCGAGGATGGCTTCAGTGTTTGTTCGGGCCGATCGCCGAACCCAAATCACACCAAAAGCGGAGGTGGGCATCGCCTCACGTGGCTAATGATCCTCGCGGCAGCTTCCCACCGCCTGCCTCGGCTTCTCCGGCATCCGGAGCGGCGGCATTACCCCGTGATTCAGGGAAGGCAGAAGCGGTGAGTAAACGCCCGCTCGGAGCCGAGCTCGGCGACGCTGACGGCAGCAAAGGGGCCCTCCCGCGGCGGGGCG